TTGATTTATTGCAATTGCAGCTTCCTCTGCCTCTCTGCTGTCTGACTGCATTCACCTGACACTGATATGAAGCAGAGAAGAAGAGCCAATCAGAGGAGGAGCAGCTGATCTTTTTCCAGCACTAATGATGTAAAGGATGATCAGAGTTGATGTGCAGATGAATGATGTGTGTTTCCTCTGCAGGTGAAGCTAGAAAGTGTGTGTGAGCTGATGTGAATTCAGCAGCATGGATCAGTGTGAGGACAGAGAGGAGGGAGTCCCTCCCTCTAAAACCACTCTGTGTGGGGAAGATGAGAGCCAGAGCAAAGGTCAGCGGAGAGGGCACCATCTCTAACTGTCCACAGCCCTTTTCACACAGCGTTCACTACATCAGGCCCAATCAGACGTGGTGCTGAAGCTGCTGCTGCTCCTCTTTGCTGCTTCATCCAGACTGAAGCGATTCAGTTTTAATCATCATGTTTCTGTCAGGATCCATCAGAGACTCAGGCCAGAACCAGAACCAGAACCAAAAGCCAGCTGTGTGTCCTTTAAGAGCGACAGGTCAAAGGGTCTTCCCATTGAATTTAAATCTCCTGGATCTCCACCATCAGAGAGGTGAGCTGTTTCTAACTGCTGATCTGTTTCTGTCATTGTGGCCATGTGACGATACCAAGTTCTGCATCAACTTAATGTTTCCATATGAAACAAAATCATGCACTTTGTCCAATATTTATATTAATACAGATACACAAATCCATAAGTGAATTTCATTTCTAGGTTGATATTTGGATTGTTCTCAAAATCAATGAATCAATAAATCAGATTTGGAGCAACTGACAATAAACAGATTAATGCTGGACGATTAGACCTCCATTAAATAATTATATGATTCCAGTTTCAACTCTGCGGTTCAAACATCATGGATCATCAACCATTTCTGCATTTAATCTAAATTATACCTCAAGTGGATCTGATTCAGAACCAGATGGTCTCTATTGGACCATCTGGTTCTGAATGAAGCTCCATCAGATCCTCCTTGGATGGTCAGAGTGGAAACGACTCCTGGTTCTTCTCCATGTCAGAGCTCAACACTAAGATCATCAAACTTCTCTCAGTCATTTAAACCAACATGTTTGTCTGAGAATCAGATCTTTCTGCTCTTTAAACAAGGCTGGAATTTATTCAGGAGGATCAATGATCAGGAACATGTTGGAGGATTGGACCGGTTCTGATGGGAATCATTTAGAGCATCGATCTGCGCTTCCCCTCTCGGTGGGACGGATAGAAGATCGTCTGTCATGGATCCATGTTGGGGTCGAGCTTTACTGGATTTATTTAATTTAAGGGCTGATCAAGGAAGGATTTAGACGGAAAATGAAATGAATTGAAATGGAAACTTTACTGTGAATCGTTGCTGCTTATAAATTGTTGTTACATGAAGAAACACATTTATATTTCATGAGAGAAATATTGAACAAAGTGCCACAACTTAGTTACTGCGACTGAGATCTACAGGATCCCACATGATCCCACCTTTAGGCAGCACCAACACCTGGAGGTGATCTGATTGTGAGCAATAATGATATGAATATAAACTAAATAAGAACTTAATGAGTCTTTTAAAGAGCAGAACTGGTTTCATCTTAGTAGGAAAAACCAGAACAAAAACACTTTAAACTACCACAGAGTATTAAAACCATAATAAGATGAAAATAAAATATAATTTTTTGGAAGAAATTTATAATATTACCAGAATAAAGTTGTAATATTCTGACTTTATTCTCATATTTTATATATTTTCTTAGTGTGTCCATAATACTCCATCCTGTTAAACTGCTTTTCCTGATGATTTAAATCCTAAAATGTGACACATCTCTCCTTCCTCTGCAGTCTGGGGTTCATCAGAA